CCCGAGGTCAGCACGGCTGCGGCAGAGGTGTCCTGCACGTCCCCCTCCAGGTACCTGCAGCCGGGGACAGAGGGGTCACAATGCTGCAGGTTGTGAAAACACAATCCCTTCATTTTTTACAATTAGCTAGTTTTTAACGTCGAAAATTAATAAGCTAATCTTAGCCGACTGTAGGAAGCCAGGCTGCATTACATATTGTATCCTCAGTGCACCCAGACACCAAGGATGTCAGGACAATCCTCCTGCAGCCTTGCTCCGTACTTGAAAATCGTTCAGTAAGCCAAGAGCTCAAGCCAAGATCTCCCCCAGTATCCGTGCACATCCATCACAACGTTTCCTACGTCACTGCACTGCAAGGCTGAGTCTGAGACAGCTTACTCTTCAAAATGCAAGAGGAAGGAAGAGATCGTCTGACTGCAAGCAGCTGCTTAGCACACACCAACCTAGCAACAGCACAAGGGCCCAGAACATCGCCTTTGCACACCCTTTCTGCAGGGGTTTTTGCCCGATGAACCCAGTCACAGCGTTTCCACACTCACACTGCAGGGGCAGAAAGACAACAGCGTACAGCACGCAGAAAACGAACGCTCCCGTCTGCCAGCGGAGCCCCTTGCTGTGGTGACGCCGGGAGCTCAGAGGTCAGGGCGCAGATCGGTGCAGGAAGCGGCCAGGAAACGCCAACACCCTCACCCCAGTCCAGCCCCACACAGGACAGGCGGCAGCGACGGATGCGGCCCCTTCTCATGGGCAAGATGGCAAACGGCCCCTGCCAGCAGCGCTGCCCCAAAACCCCTCCAAGGAGTCCAGCAGGTACGTACCTTCCAGAGTGCCCGGGGGGCAGGGAGGAGAACATCACCCCCGTGCTCCTGGCTGTTTTGGGGTTGAACGCGACCACGCGGAACGCGGGGTTTCCACAGGGCTCGCTCTCTTTGGCGTGTGGGTGGCTTAATACAACAAACAGGAGGCCCTGATACGCAGAGGGAAAACACATCACTAAGAACAACAGCGAGAGGGGAAGAATACCAACGGATTTTCCAAAAATTAATTGCTACATTCTCTCTATAATCAAAGCCCCACGGACAGTGATACATTATTTTGACGGAATTAAACAGGAATGGTTTACTTTCCTTATCAAATCAGATAAAAACCAAAGCAGCTGCTGACTGATAAGGGCGGATGCGATGCAGCAGGACGACAGCTCAGTGACCCAATGGATTTATGCACTTATCTTTCTGCCTGGAAAAGCCAAACTTGCTGTAGGACGAGGTGACATTTAAAGTAACATTTCTGGGCCTCATTTTAATCCCTAGGAGCTTATAAATTTAACAAGAATTCCACGCAAACCAGCACAGCCGAAAACAGCAGCGCTCAGAACAGCCGCAGGCCAGCACGAACTACGCTGAGACAGAAGCTGCGAGGAAGTCTCCAAGGAGTCTGACTCAAGCCATCACTATTGGACAGGACATTCTTGTCCCAGAAGGTTGAATGCTCACTCAGAACAATCAAATCCTCAGTAAACTACAAAAATCCATCTGGAGGCACAGCACAGGTGGGAGCAAGCGGGAAAGTGTCATTAGTGCGAGTCCTGGCTTTAAAGAGTTCACATCCCCAGGGGTGTATGTAAATACCCACCCTCCACATCGGTTTTCCAACAGCGGGGATGTGCCGTCGCCACGCTGGCAGCTTGTCAAATGGAAGAGATGCAGCAGCACCCACGAGCAAGATGCTGCTGCTTCGGAATACCTTGGATGCACCGCTCCTTTTACTGCTATGCTGCACAAAGCCAAGAATTGGAGGCAGCCAGCGTGGCTCGTTTCTCCTAGGTAACCTGTTTTCCTCTGGAATATCTGAAGTGTAGCTAAATAGAGCTGGTATTTCAGTCCACTTTAGAAATCCTAATCCTTTAAGTCCCCATCTTATTTCATGCACTTACAGAGTCAGAATATGCTCGGTGGCAGATTGAAGCTGGGTAGGAATAACCAACAGGCATCTTCTTCAGGAGCTGGCCCGTTCTCAGATTCCTGCAGTTGGTGAAAATACAAATCTGAATGCAATACCATCCCATATCTGTTACTGTCTAATCACAGTTACAGCACTCTGCAAGACGAACACAGTTCTGGTTTCACATAAGCCTAACAAGACAAGAGCCCACAGGAAGAGACGTAATGAACGTGATGCAAAAGCAGGTGGAGTTACAGCAGCGTGGTTCACGGTCTGTCCAGCTGTACTGAAGTTAACGTGCCAGACAATTACCATTTCACAGGCAAATCAGGTGCCCACCACCACCCCTGTGTAACGCCTGCAGTGGTCGCAGCCACGGCAGACACCTGCAAGCTGAGCTGTTGAACTGCAAAGGAAACACTGACCAAACAACAACGCTGTTCACCGCGGTGGTGCCGACCAAGGCGTCTCTCATTCCTTCTACTTCAGCAAAAGCTAAAACAGTTTCTTCAGGGGGCATCAAAGTCTGTCCGTCCTTGCTCCTGAACAGCAGATTAGCAAGGGAGAAAATCAGACACTGTGTGTTCTGTCCCCAGCACAGCTCCAGAGAGAAGAGGAGCTTGACACTCTTCTGTGTCTGAGAAGTTTCCTTTCTTTTCTTCCACCCACCACACTGAGACCACCCCAAACCTGCACTCACCTTCCTGCCTCTGAAATCAATGCTATTTCCACTTGCTGCTCTTGCACAGTCCTGCTGCTGCTGACCAACCTCCTGTCCCTCAGCCCAAGAACAGCTTTTATGTTTCCAGTTTTTACTAGTGATTGCTTGCATGAGTCATCCTCCGAAGAATAAAGCAAGAGCCTAAATTAAGAGAAAAGCATGCATAATGACAGAAGGAGGACTAACTCAAACATGCCACGGCGTACAAAAATAAGCATATGTTTAAACAGTCTACCACCTCTAGGGGCGAACAGGCAAGTCTTTATAGTTCATTTTTAGAAATCCCTTCCATATTTTCCAACTGTTAAAGCAACTGAGAAAGTGACACATTAGTAAGAGGTAATTTCAACCACTACACAAGAGGAGAATTAAGCTGCAGCTATGGAGGGCGCAAAGCACTAGTAAGAAACAAATACAACACCTTATTTCTCCAATCTCCAAATCTCCCAGCGCTACACACACGAGATTACAGGTGTCCGGCAGAGGAACGATCTGTATTACAGGAATCTAGGACAGCAAAGAATTCAGTGTCACCCACAACGTTCCTTTGACTTTACTGCCATTTTCCAGAGCGTTTCAAGTAAAATGATACGGAGCACAACTGATTTTCAGACCCATCTGAAGAAGCACACTTAGGTTAACAATCTCTGTTGATACACGAAATAAAGAAGTGTCTCCAGGGAGCACAAGGGGGAAGAGCACAAGTCAGTGGCTGCAGCCACTGTGCAGTTCATGACATATCAAATTCCAGCAGACAACACGTGTCCTTACAAGATGCTGGCCTTCTCCATCAGTGGTGAAATCAATCTTCTCTGTTGCCTGCTGGCATGAAAAACTTACACCACCTAAAGACCTCACCTTGCACCCAAGACTGCAGGCCCTTTATATCTTGGGAACTAATGCACTGGGAGAAGAAAGTTGCCCTAAATTCTAGAAATATGGGTTGGGTTCATACCTCTCCAAGCTGCCAGGTATGGGCCTTTCCCCAGCAGTCGTTGGGCAGAGGTTTCCAGAGGGAGACAGAACTCTCACAGGCTGTCACCACGCACAGCTCCCTGCAGCCAGCTGCTTCCCACCACACGGTGCTCACATCCACGGCGCAGGAGCTTGAAGAGTCCTGTCCAAAACAAAGCAGCGCTGGTTTCCTGCTGGTAGACGTGGTTACCTCTGAAGGTTCAGGCTGAGAAAAATGCTTGACATTCAGTATGAAGAGAATCTGAGTCTAAAATTTAAATGCTCATGATGTTTAATTCTGAGTCCCCCACAGGGGCCACAGGGCAGGCAATAGGGGAACAGGGGCTAAGATCGTTTCACCTGGGGCTGACAAAAAATGCTGCAGTTCTGCTCGTTAGGACATCTGCGTGTGTTTACACATCCATTGTTCAGAACCAAACACTGAAATCCTCTATCAGCCAAAAGGAGACACACAGCACCGTAACCTTTCGGCATGCCTCCCCACAGGTGAAGACAGGACTGATCAAACGTGACAGCAATCTCTTGTTCAACTAGCCAGTCTGCATTTTTACTGCATTTTTGTTAAACCTGGTATCGAAGAGCCATTACTGACTCAGTAAACAGTTATCTGATGTTATCCCACCTTTAGCCTTGACACAAGCTCCAGGCTCTCCTCTCTCAGGCCATCAAGCACTACTGGAGTCAACTGTTCTGCTACATCTTCTTTCTGCACAAACAAGTGAAGAATGAGGATAACTCAGCCTTGAAATTACATTCAGCACCTGCAAGAATGAGGCAGAAGCGTGAAGTCACTCTGCATGCAGTTGTTGGTAGGAGCACCTCTTTTTGTACTGGCGTGTCTCTGAATAACAAGAGATCCCAGACGAGTTATTTCCTGGTTTTGCCTGAAAATCATCTTTTGCCACCACTTTGCATCTCTCAGCCTTCAGGGAGAAGTCATTCTCTCAGTACCCATCCCGCATGCGAGTCATTTAACCCCCTTCACCAGATCCTAGCTGAAATTTTCCTTAAGGCACACCAACACTATGTGGGTAGCAGAACCTTTCTGTTCATACCCACATTTCAAACACACATCCTGCAGAAAGCATTGAACCCCACATCTCCAGCTTCATCAAGCAGGATTTTAAAGAATTTGCTCTTAAGGTCACAAGACCTTAGGCAATGGATGAAAACCAGACATTTAGTAAGTCAGCTAAAAGGCAGCACGCAGGGTGAGCATGCAAGGGGTCTTTCCCTGAAGTCAGGTCAGACTCCAGAAAAGGGGATTTGCCCACAAAACAACTGGCTTAGTCCTGCTGGCAGAGGCCAGCTCTTACCTGTCCGGGAGAAGCTCTGCAGGGTCTCTGCTGTTTGCTCTCTGGCTGCTGATGCTTCTTCATGGCCACAGCCTCATCAGATCTATTGTAAGGACCTCTTTCAGCTGCTAAAGGAAATGTTGTACCTTGCTGCTCCTCTTTTCCAGCAGATCCTGCACCACAGCTGTCCAAGGGCAGTGGAATGGCAGAGTCTTTGCACTCCCCATCATCCTCGCCCCGGGCAGACGCTCCTTTGGAGGCAGGTGGGCTCGCTTGCCAGGGAGCTGCAGCAGGTGTACTGGGGAAGATCTTGCTGGATACTGATGGTAAAACAGCCGGGGTTGCACCCACCACGGGGAAAACAGATGAGGAAATCTGAGACTCGGGCTGCGTGGGAGCCCCAGCTAAGATGGTCCCCATGGGAGTAAACAGCAACTCATGGGTGGAAAGTTCCTTCTTGGAAGCTGGGCTTTCTAAGGGAGGTAACTGAGGCAATCCATTCTTGAAAGGTGAAATCAAATCACTTTTGAGACTTTCTTCTGGATTCATCTGTGCATCCTGTGTGTCCTCCGAAGCCACACCATCTCCACACACACTAGGAACAAAATCCTCCAAGTCATTCACAGGGGAAGATTCTAACTTCTCCAGTTTTAGTAGTCCAAATTCCTCATCCGGTAAGTGAAAGTCTGTGATACCCAGCGTGGGGGCCAACCACTGCAGACTGCGGAAGGAGAAGAGAGAGCCGCAGGTATCGGGGTCCATAGCAGGGAGCCCAGGAGAAGCAAGGCCCTCTGAGCCTGTTGGGTAGCTACGTCCTCTTCTGCTCTCATCTGAAAACACAAGAAAAACACAAGAATACAGGAGAACATCATGTTACAGAATAACCAGCAGCTCGCCTCTTCAGGATCTCTCATCCACAGTGTCACCAATTATTTAAAAAAGACAAAAGCGCCACATCCATCTCAACACATGGAAGGGGCACTTTTCAGGAAAGACACGACACTGCAATGGCTCTGCATCAAGCCTTCAGCCAAAATATCATTGCCAAAGACTGCCAGAACTGACGGAGAGCTTGGCCAGTTTGTTCTGCTTGGTTTTCTCTCAACGCTTTCTCTTTTCACAATATTCACTGACCCTCAGACTGTAATGCTACTGCCTGTGTTTCACACTTGGGAGAACTTAAAAGAAATAAAGTATCACTAATGTGCAGACTTAGCCAGAGAAACAGATTTACACCTATTTACTGGAAAATCAAGCCCAGCGTGCACAGCATTTTCTCCAACAGCAAAGGCAGCTCAAGTGGTTCTCAGCCCTGCTCCTCATCTGTGCACTGCTGTTCACTCCCCGTCACTGTGCCACAGCAGAATTTTCTGGAATTGTTCAAGGAACACGAGCAGCACAAGGATCTACATTTTTTAAAATCTCTCTTATTAAAAAAAAATATACCATCAAAATATACCATCAAAAATATACCATAAAAAACACCCATATCAGGTTTTCTTGAATTAAAATATACGGCAGGGTGTGGACTCACGGGGACGTTCCCTGCCTTCCCTGGGGCTGTGGTTTCAGGGAGCACTCGTACATGGTGAGGTACCTTTTGAGACTTGGCTGCCTCTCTGTCTCACAGAGGATCGCAGGGAGCGGCGCGGGGGGACAGGAATCGCTAGGAGCTGCTCAGCGCTGCAGGCTCCTTGCATGTGCTGCTCCTTCACGTGCTCCACTGGACCTTCATCAGCCCGACACGCAGTTACATTGGCTTCCAGTTCTCCCATATGGCTGGCAAGAGTTTCATTCCCTGGGTGCAGAGAGTCGCCGTTCTGACGTGGATTTTGAACCTGTTCTAACAGAGTCTTACGGCATTTGCCGAGCACGTGGCTTCCTCCAGGAGGGCCAGCACTTGTGGGCTGTACAGCCCCTGTCGCCTCTGTCTCTCCAGCCGCAGGAGCTGCAGCAGCAGACAGCCTTGTCTCGCCTGAAGATGGTTTTTTGAGAGTAGCCTCACAGTTTTCCTCTCCACTCTGACATTGATTTGACAGCAGACTACTGCTTCCCCTTGCTGTTATGAGATCCAAACTCTCTGTGAGCTCCTGCGACCCCTGATGCACAGGGGGCTTGCAGGCAGACTTTCTTCTTCCCTTTTTCTTCCTCTGTGTTGGCCTCTGATCTTGCTTTGTGCCAGTGATACTGCTTTGAGAAATGGATCCCAGTGAAGTGCTGCTACCACTGGACGCAGGAAGGGATTTCAGAGGACTACCTGAATTTGCTGGATCATTTTCTGCACCAGGTAAAGGTAACGGCCTGACCCCTGACTCCAGATCATCTTCAACTCTTTCCTGGGAGGGCCAATCTGAATTTGCATCTTTCTGCTTGCACTTACTCCGCTGACCTTTCTTGCTTCTGCCCAGCTGGCTGAGAATTACAGCGTCGAGGTCCACTTTCCTCTGGCAATTAGACATGCGTCGCGTCGTCCTGACGTAGTATTCAACTGGAAAGAGCAGCCCTTCAACCATCGTGCAAGAGCTCAGTGCACTTTCGGGAACTGTCACCTCTTCTGGATGAGAAACTCTTGACTGAATGTCAAGCTGTTGACTCTTCAACACTTCTTCAGTACTGCCCAGAGCAGGATCTGGAGGAAAGGGATTTAAGTTGTTAGTGTCACCTTGACTTTCTTCATGGCTTTTGCTCTCATCAGTTACAGTGGTGTTTCTGTCAGCAGGCAACGCTTCATTTTCTGACATTAAATCCAAAAGCCTCTGTAATTCTCCCGGATCTTCACATGTGCTCTCACCATCCATTTGTTTTATTATACTGGAGGATGCTTTTCCTCCCTCACCACTGGTGTCAGGCAAAACAGAGTCACCGTTCTCTGAACACGGCCATGCAGGCTCACAGTTATCAGATGTGGCCACAGCACCCGGCGACTCAGGCTGCCAGACACCGCTGCTGTCCCTCAGCGCACTTGGGGACAGCTCAGGCGCTCCTGGGGGAACACCGAATTCAATCACGTCTTGTACGGTTCCTAAGGCTGCATCAGGAGGAGTGGAGCTGTTTCCTTCTCTCTGCACAAGTGCTGGTCTGGGTGCTCTGTGAGCGCCTTCCTCAGCGCTCGAGACGCTGCTTCTCCTGAAGACTGGTGACCGCAGTTCCTCTGCGCTGGCGATCTGATTTCTCACCGTTTCTTCAGTGCTGATTAGATGCACGTTATCCACTGATTTCTTTTCCTCCGATACCAGAGCCGTCGTCCGTCTCCTCAGCTTCATCAAGCGTCTGGAGGTTTGGGGTTTCCTCTCCTCAGGGGCTGATGTAACGATCCTGCAGCACAGGCTTTCCTGGCTGGCCTGGATGCTGTCTGCCTGTGAGCTGTCCTGCAGGCCAACCTCATTACTGGAGATTTCGGAAATGTGTTTAAATGTGGCAGATGTTTTCCTGTCTGTGTCAAGCTCAGAGCAGGTTTTAGTCTGTAACCGAGAGGTTTCGTGTTTGTCAGCACTAGGAGACACGTTATCTTCAGAACCTGTGGAAAAAAAAAAGTCACACGTGTAAAGCACTCCCAGCAAAGTCCTGCCCGAGAAAAACACCACACAGTAGAACCAGACTTCGTTAGGAGCGAGAGAGCAGAACCATACAGTGGGGATCAGAGAGCACTGCAGCCCTGGTGAGGAGAGAGGGAGAGGAGAAGTTACTGCGGGTGAGGATTCAGCAGCCCTGGGG